TGTATACAAAAAAAATATAATTATCAGATATAAATTAGATGCAGAAATTTAATTTTTACAAATAAAGTCACTTTTTAGATTAAAAAAACGCAATTTCAATGAGTTTTGGGATAAATGCAAATTAGGAAAAAATACCCAACATCAATAAATAATGTATGTGAAGGTCAGTTATATGATATTATGATGTTAGAATACATTTTAGAAATCCTAAGTCATTTGACTAGAATGAGTAAGAAAGTAATGTAAAATAGAAAATTACCAAGTAAAGTGGGTGACTTAAGTAACTTAAGAAAAGAAAAATAAGACACTAGAATGACACATGCTCTCCTTTATTCTTCTTCATGTCTGTCGACCACCATGGAAAACGAGGGAAAAACTTGCAGAAAACCTAACTCCTTCATATGAACACCAAATTACTTGGTTCCAAAAGCAAAAGTGTGTCAAATCTCCTCCTCTACAAAACCCTCTATGTAAGGACCATCAAAACGCCATACTAAGTGAGATATTTCACCTTAAGAATTTCAAAAATTTGGAGAAATTGGTGATTTTTGGGTGTTTTGTGTACAACAGACCTTGAAACTTACTTCCTCTAGTATTCCATGATGATCTATGGTAAGTTTCCACCACTCAAAATTAGTTTTCATGGATTTTCAATATTGTTAGGTTATGTGAATAGTAAATTACGAAATTTTCATGGTGGGATTTGTTAAAGGTTGTTTTGCAAGTGGTGTCCTTTGTTAAATATGCTTAGAAATGTTTCTTGTGAGAGGACAACAAGAGAAATCACCACTTTACTCACTTTGGAAAAATGAATATGAACAAAGTGTTGAACAATCATGGTTTAGAAGGATTTTGATCATGTGTTGGTATGTTGTTTGTATTGTAGTGTTGAGCCTTGTGACGTTATGAATGAGGAGCATCCATTGGGGCCAACAATTATTCAAGACTAGGAATCTTGAGTGTGTCATCAAAGAGGTAAGTTATGAGAATGAAGTTTAAGGACATGTTCTAACCAAATGCTTAGTGATTTTGTGTTGAATGATGTCTTAATCACAATTTCACTTGTTACTATAGATTGCTTGTTGTGGTTTGTGTGATTGGGAGCTCTTGGAGTAGAAAAGAACAGCTATCAGAAAGTCTACAACAGGTAAACTTATGTACCTTGGAGTTAATCTCCACGTGTGTTCCACCATGGCCCATTGGGGTAATGGTTGTTTGATAGAGATGCTTCATAGTGATGTGACATGATATAATGTATTTTAAGATGATTGAGTCTATAATGTTGAATGACATGTATGACGATATGTATGAAAAAATGGATGTATAGAGAAGTTCTTGGACGTAGCAAAAGTTCTTGGGGCTTAATGCCTATGAGACATCGCAGAAGTCTCTTGAAAGTATTATATATATGGACCTTTCTTTGACGTTGTAAAAGTCATTGGGGGGGTTAATTCCTATGAAACGTAGCATAAGTTTTATATAAGAATTAGACTAACCTATAAGGCGTAGCAAAAGCCTTATCATGTACAGATAATGACAGAACAATATGATATGATATGATATGATATATGTGTATAATGTAAAAATATTATGTATGCACTTGAAGTGAACTATAGGGTGGAGGAATCCTCTAAGCACCTTTAGTTTACTGAGATTTATATCTCACCCTATGTTGAGGACATCATTTTAGGTATCACCACAGATGGTGAGGGCACTTTACTTGGCAAGAGGCCAAAGACAGCATTACATGTGGACTTCTGTTTTATTTTGATGTAGATATCATGTAAACTATACATTTTGAGCATTCTCATGAGGATGTACATTTTGAGGCCTAGATATAGGCTATATGCATATTACATAATTCCTATGATATGTATTTTGTTTCGAGCACATTGCATATGAATCATGTAATTTGGAAGTGTAATGAGATTTATGTCCAAGAGACTTTGGTGATGTAATTAAGTAATTGGACATTATATGATAGTTATGTATTTTCATGTGTTGATATTTGAATATGTTCATTTTGTAAGATTCATGACATTTAGTTAAAGTGACAAAAATATGGATATTGTGATATCAACAATTGTAAGGAAAGACTAAGTATGTATTTATGAAAGGATTATGATGATGTAAAGATTCATTGATTGATCCTAAGAGTAGTTTAATTAGTAGATAGACTAAAATATGTATTAAATTATATATGTTGCCCAGTAGGTGTTTCATGACATCGGGAAAATGTCCCAAACCCTCCAATTGTAGCCAGGTGCTATAAATTTTATTTCTAACCGATATGATACATGATAGCCATAATCGGATAGTTGATTATCATCATGGATGATTTGTTTTTCCCAAGGACATATGCGTCAAAGTACTCAACAACACAACCTCTTGTTTTTTTCCATTAAATTTGGATTTCCCCCCTTTTAAGGACCATTTTTCAATATATATTTTTTGATATAATAATAAAAATTATACATAATCTAATACAAATTACTCAAATCCTCCATCATTAGACTAATGGCTTCAATATTATTTTTCTTCATTCCTAATACTCGTATCAGTTGTTTGATTAAGAGTAACTAGTCGCTTACCACATTTTTACCATTAGATTTATTAATCAATCAATGACGTCAAGATTTTTTGCATGATGTACACATGTCTCTTTCTTACTTGATTCGTTTATTGTTTTGGTTTTTTCAAAATATTTTTTTTGGTTCATTTATTTTATAATCAATATAGATAAGTTATCTACATTGAACCAAAAACAACTTTAGTTTAAGGCAAAAATGAAGATATTTTTGTAACTATAAATTGTCTAATTATGATTTAGAATTTTTTTTATTAAAGCACTGATTTAGTAAATTTAAAAATAATTTAATCAGAATTATTTTATATTGAACTATTTAAAAAAAATATAAAATTAAAATAATTTTATTAATTCGCATTTTATTAAGTTGAAATAAACATTCGTTATAGTGAGGTTATAATTGAAGTTAAATTATAATTAACCTAACTACCGAATAGGCCAAGATAGCTTGTGTGAGGGTATGACTTGATTCGCATTAGGTCTAATTTAACCTAGGCTTATTTTCTAAATAAATTGGGCAAGGCTTTTTTATAATTTTATTTGGATAAAAACGTTGTGTTTTTAATTAGTCATTCAAAATTCCGTTTCAGAGTGCAACTAAATATAATTAATAATAATATATTATTATTAATTTATTATGGAGAAGGATATTTTGACTCGACTTTTAAATCTTATTCCTTATCTCAGCCATTGATTTTCGTCATTCAACGATTATAGTTTAAGAAGTCATATTAATTAATATTAATTATACTACAATTGACAACCATTGACTTTCGTCCACCAACAGCTGAGATAGGAAATAAGACTTACAAGTCTTACTCTAAAGACAAAAGAACTCTCCCCATTTATTATTATTATATCAAATTTTTATAGTATTGTTTCGAATTCATATTAGTGTTTAGGCTTGTTATCCTATTTAATTAGAGGTAGGCCTCCTAGCCTATTTAAAAACAATTGTATAAACTTCCAAGGGAAGTTCTGCTTTTCAAGAGCTTGTTTGAGTCAAGGATTCAAATCATGTCTTAACAAATTTTTGGAAAATTTTTGGGGATCAGAGGATGTTCCTCTCTCCTCGAATGAAAGATTAGTCTTATTCTTCTTCCGATGGTGAAACTCAATGCACTTGTTGTTTCAATAAGGAGGTAGCCTTCGAGGTCGTACTTCGAGGATCAGGATAAAGTGATCGGATGATGTTGAATAGAGATACCTCCACGTTATTCCAAAAAAAAAAAATGTATAAAGTATGCTTTAAATTATAAAAAAGGTATGCTTTTAAGTAGACTTTCAACTCAGTTCAAACTTTTATAAAATATACATGTAATTAAATAGATGATACTCATGTTTTATATTTGAAAATAAGTCCGACGTGTTAAAGGTTAATCCTATTCTGATCTAACATTTTTCCATCCCTAAATTTGTGTCAAGTTAATTAGATCATTGAATCAAATCAAGAGCATCATAATCAATAATCCAAATCTTCTCCAATCTTAGGAAGACTGCATGTATGCCATTAATTTTGAAACGCAGAATACCTCCATCATGAAAACCAATCTTAACATAATGCATACTGCTAAATCAATCAGAGTTTCTTTGATGTGCTAAAGACAAGAAAGACAACTCAATAAAACAGGTTATACTTTATTTTATGTATATAATATTGTACGAGATAAAAATTATTTCTTACACAAATATAAAATTATATGAGCTCGTATTATTTCTTTATCTCTCTTCTCTTCATGTGTTTCTAAATAGATCTTACATATTTTTATATATGTGTTACGGTGATGGAACCAGATAAATTTTTTAACCCATGTCAAATATCAATTGGTGAAAAAAATCAGCCAGTCTTAGCTATGGAGAAAGTTGTTATTTCCATAGGTCTCTATTAATTACTTAGTTCTATAAATAGAAACCAATCATTTTTTAAAACTAGCCAATCACAAGCGAATTATTAATTCGTAACACAGTGAACAACACAAAATAGTTATGTAAAGTTATTTAGATAACTTTATCTAATGTTCATCGAAACGACATTATTTTGGAACGAAAATCATGGTGTTTTGGTAATTTTAATTTATTTTAGGGTTATAATAGTCTTTATCATTCTAATTTTTTAATTTTTCAACTTCAAAACGACGTCGTTTCGATGAACATTAGACAAAGTTGTCTAAAGTAAGATAGAAACTTTTTTCCCATAAAAAAATCATAACACCGTCATTTGTCTTGTGGTGTATTATTGAATTTTGTAGTTTTCCCTTTGTAACTTGTTAAGTGTAAGCCAACAAAAATTAAAAAAGTCTCGACACATAAAGTTACCCCCGACAGATTCGTCACCACACACGTCACTACCTCCCTTGCTGCTATGATTCTCCACCTTATATAATAAGCCCATCCACACATGCTGCATGTCACACTAAATCCCCCACACTCTAGCATTTTTTCCCAGTTTCGCAGACAGTTTCAACTTCAACCACGCGCCACCGTTACCATGGTGCAACACCGTTTCCTCCTCATAGCATACCCAATACAAGGGCACATAAACCCTGCCCTCCAGTTTGCCAAGCGACTCATTGGCATGGGTGTACATGTCACTTTCGCTACTAGTGTTTACAATTACCGTCGCATGACCAAGAAATCAACCGTCCACGGCCTCTCCTTCGCCACCTTCTCCGACGGCTACGACGACGGTTACAACGCCAACGACGACTCCGACTTGGTGTCGTACATGAAGGAACTGAAGCGTCGCGGGTCAGAGTCTCTCAGAAATATCATATTCTCCAGCGCGCAGGAAGGTCACCCTTTCACTTGTTTGGTCTACACACTCCTCCTTCAATGGGCTGGTGCGGTGGCGCGTGAGTTTCATCTCCCGACAGCGGTGCTGTGGATTCAACCAGCCACTGTTTTTGATATCTACTATTACTACTTCAACGAATTCGGCGACTACATCAGCGATAAATCAAAGGACCCCACATGTTTGATAGAATTACCAGGATTGCCATTTTCTCTCACAACCCGTGACCTTCCCTCGTTCCTATTGGCCTCAAATATGTACACTTTTGCTCTTCCATCGTTCAAAGAGCAACTCGAAGAGCTTGACCTTGTAACCAACCCAACAGTACTTGTAAACACCTTTGAGGAGTTGGAAACGGAGGCCTTGAGAGCCGTTGATAAGTTCAGAATGATACCAATCGGACCGTTGATTCCCTCTGCCTTCTTGGACGGTAAAGACCCTTCTGATACCTCATTTGGTGGTGACATCGTACATGTGGTCTCAAATGATGATTACCTTGAATGGTTGGACTCAAAGCCTGAGCTGTCTGTTATTTATGTTTCATTTGGTTCACTTGCTGTGTTGCCGAAGAGACAAACGGAGGAAATTGCACGTGCGTTAATAGATTGTGGACGTCCTTTCTTGTGGGTCATTAGAAAAAAGGAAAATGAAAATGAAAATGAAAATGAAGGAAAGGAATTACAAGAGAAGGAGAAGGAGGAGGAGCTGAGTTGCATGGAGGAATTGGAGAAGATAGGGAAGATAGTGAAATGGTGTTCTCAAGTGGAGGTTTTGTCACATCCTTCTTTGGGTTGTTTTGTGACGCATTGTGGATGGAATTCTACCTTGGAAAGTTTGGCTACAGGGGTTCCTACTGTGGCATTTCCTCAGTGGACAGACCAAGCTACTAATGCAAAGCTAATAGAAGATGTGTGGAAGACAGGGGTAAGGTTAGATGGTGAGGTGAATGAAGAAGGGATAGTGGAAGCTAAGGAAATCAAGAAGCGTTTGGAAGTGGTGATGGAAAGTGGAGAAAAAGAAGAGGAATTGAGAAAGAATGCAAAGAAATGGAAGAGTTTGGCAAGGGAAGCCGTGAAGGAAGGAGGTTCTTCGGATAAGAATCTAAGGACTTTTCTGGATGATGTTGCTGACAACTAAGTTGTTGATTTGGACTCTTGTGGAGTTGTGTATTAATTTCTCTTACATGTGGTTGGGTCACTCCATAAAGATTGATTAGTTTGGTTAATGTAGCTCTCCGTGTTGTGGGGATTTGAATAAAAAAAAAATTATATTGTGTATAAGGTGCGTAATCATGTTGATTTGCCTTGGTTAGCTAGGGACGTAGAAAAACTCGAGTCTCTGGTGTGTTTTAGCATATTCGACTTATTCAATGAAATGATAAAAAATTATATCAGTATAATTGTAAAGTAATGCGTGTAACTCTTACTCGGAGCTTGTGTTACATATTTTTTTTAAAGTTAAAAGCAAATCTTAAACCGAAGTTAAACAAACAAAAAAAGACTAAAAGTTATTAGATGATTTTTAAGGAGGAAAGATGAAATAATTTATTATTGGGATGAATTATTAAAGTAAAGGATAAAAATTTTATAAATACAAAATTTAGAACAAGAGTGAAACTGTATAATAATTATGAGGACTCTAAAAAATAGTCATATATTTTTTAAAAAAATCTCTTAGGAGGTTTTAACTTTTTTTTTTTCATAAAGAAAATACTCTTTTATAATAAAGTTTTTTATAAAATCATATTTAATTAAGCTTCTATTTTAAGGAAAATAAAAATTAAAAATAAAACATACCAAATAGGTACTTAAAACTACTGCATATATCATAGGTATTTTAGCATCTGTACATTGCACAAGTATTTTAAATTTAGGTGAAATTTTTTAGTATAAACTTTTAAAAAATATTTAAAATTAAAAGGAGTGAATTTATAACTATTTCAAATAAATTCTAAAAATTATATATGGATTGAAAAACAAAATTATAAAAAGTAATAATAGTTAATTAAAAAAGTTAAATTTAAAATCTAAAAGAATATAAGTTAATGATAATGTGTTTTTTTTTTTTCAAGAAAGACTGTACTTGAAAAAATGAAATCGTCGTACATCAAAATCCAACAAAAAAAAAAAAAAGTGTCATGCTTGTCACGAATACGATACCCATGCATTCTTATTGATAGACCAAATTATTGTCTGCAAATGTTTGTGTCCATAGCTGTTCTAACGAAAGTGACTTCGCTTAATAATGCATAAATTCAAGAGAGGAAACCAAAATGAAGAAAAATTGGTAGGATTTTCCATTTTCAGCTATGATATCCGAGTGCACCAACCCAATTGTCTGGTCAAAAACCTTTAGCTGGAAAAAAAAATGTTTATTTAGGTACATGAAAACATATCGACTTACTACCAAAAAATTTTATCACTCTTATAATCAATTTAATCACAGTTGATTTTCATCAATCTAACAATTATAATTTATTTGAAATTAATAACATTTATTGTGTCACACATATTAATTAATTATTAATTCCTAATAAATTATAACTCTTAGAATTGACAGAAATTAACGGTGATTAAAATAATTTTAAGAGTGATAAAAAAATTTTGGTAATAATTAAGTATATCCTACCCTAGGTACATTGCATGATTGCAATTATTGAATATGTTAGTCAGGAACTTTAATGTAAAATATGACAAAAGAAATTGACAAATTTATGAGAAGAAAAGTTGGAATTTCCGATTATAATGTTTTCTCATACTGCCATATAACATCAGGTTCGCTTTTTCTGCAGTTACTGCAAATAAGTTATCTGTTGTAAGCCTAATACGACGTCGTTTTGGGCAAAAATCATGGTGTATTTGTAATTTTAATTTATTTTAGGGTTATAATAGTCTTTATATTTATAATTTTTTAAGATTTCAATACCAAAATAATATCATTTTGAGAATAAATACAGATAATTTATCTGCATTAACTGTACAAACATTTTTCCAAACATCAAATATCAAATAAGTATTTCTCTCCCTAGCTATCTCTCTATGTAACCTGATCTAACCTGCATTTAAAAATTAAAAGACTTGAATAATTGAAAGAGGAAATAGAGTGAATAATGAGATGAAAACTAAGATCAGATATAATCAAAAGGGTTTTATAAGAGTTATGTTGTAGAAAAAGTGATTGTGTAATGTTATAGAGATTCGTTTTGCGTGCTATAGTTTTTTTTTTTGCTTTAAAAAGTGTGGGCCCCACAAAATGTTGTGTGTGTAGGAAAGTTTTTCTGGTCATGTTAAAGGACAAACTAAAACCCCATAATCAAATACTAAAAACTTATAAATATGAAGTAATGTGTGTAGTATTGTTTTAAGGGGAAAAAATATACTAAAATATTACTATTTTATTAAATAATTACGAATAGATTATTGTTTTGAATATATTTATGAATGTGTTGCACTTATTCATGCTCAAATTAAAAAAAAAAATTACGCCAAAAACAAAAAACAAAATTCCACGTCATTCACGCCCACTTTAGGCTAGGTGTGAATACCTTGACCTATATATACCCCAAATTTTTCACTTTTCACTTTCGCTCTTTCTCTCTACTTTCTCTCTAAAATTGTTCTCTGACTTCTCTCTAAAATTGTTCTCTGACTTCTCTCTAGATTTTTTATGGAGATTTTTGTGCAGCGAAGCCTTGTTAGACAAGTAACTATTCATATATGGTTTATTTATTTTTTAAATATAGCAGTAGATATGTTATGTTAGTGACCTAGGAATTTGTACATGTAATATATTATTCTAGTGACCTAGGAATATGTTAGTGACTTAGGAATATGTTAGTGACCTAAGAATATTTTATACATGTAATTTAATACATTTTGTAAATCTTGTTTTAGGCATGTAAATTATTTGAAATGAAATTCATTATACCAATTAATTTATAATTTTGTATAGTACATTATTATGGCTGACTCGTCATCTTTCGAGTCACCTCGGTCTACATTTGATACCGAGGCCGAGCCTTCGGATCCCACGACACAAGTGCTTCCAGGACCATACAGGCGAGAAGTACTTCGGAGGCCCAAACAGCGCATACATGTTTCACAGGCTATGTAGATCGAGGAGAAGGTTCGCCAATAACTTACCTAGTACAGGTGAAGCAATAACATCAGCATCAAAGCTGTCTGTGACCCTGAGAAATATGGTCATTCAAACAATTGTGGTCTCCACCCCATTTAGTAACCGTCCAATTCTTACCCTACGTTGGTTTTATTACCCTAACCCTTCATGCGCATAACATTTCATACTTAACTTTGTAGGCGTGCTCTCAAACTTCTTGATGCTCCTTCATTAGGTTTCGCTTTGCCATCTGCACCTCTCTTTTTTTATTCAAATTCTAACTTAACATAGGACTTATTATCTATTACCCGTAGACCATTAATTGAACCTGAACCTGAACATGAACCCTCCTTATAAGAATCTTATTCTCTTGGATGATCCTAATCAATGTATGTGTAATGTGGAATTCTATTTCAAAGAGGAGGAACATCGTCACCTGCATGTATGAATTTTTTTTTACATAAAGCATACATGTAGATTTATGTATATTTGTCTTGTTTACTAACACGCTTTCAAAATTTTGCGTTAATTGAGTGGATGCGATGTAATGATGTTCCGAGACACGAGACTCCTCCACAGCATTACATTATAGGATTTGAGTTTTGGGCATACCATGTTCCTCATCATTGTCCGAAGCACTAGCATCCTCAGCAAGAAGACAATCTTCGATTGCGATATTTTCATTATCTTTATCATCACCATCGTCATCCATCACCCAGGTAGGGTCATTTTCATCTTCGTCAGAAAGATTAACAACTGAAGCAATATATGATGATGCATATTGTGGAGAATTGAAATTAGCTGACCTCATAGATAAAACAACATCATCTGCTCCAGCAATATCCACGTACAACTCTAATAATTCTTTCCTTGACTGGTTGAAGATTTCTCCCATTACCATATCTACGTCTTTATCATCCACAACTTGCATAGTAATGTATTGTGATTTGCATCATATGCTTGCGGTGACCAGATTGATAGATTGTTTACCTTCAAGAGCTAATTTTTGACGAATTTTCTAATGTAGTTCGCTAACTGTTGAGTTGTGCATGGTACGTGTTGGCCCTTTCTCGCCTAAAAAACTATACCATATCGACCTTTCACTTTTCTCCCATTATAATATAGAACAACACGAACAGAATAAGAATACGAACTCATTCTTAAATATATAAACAAATAATACAAAATAAAGTATGCATAAGCAAATGAGATTGTATCAACGAGTAAGAGTTTATGATGCAGAAGAGTTGTAAAGAATGCGAAGATGGTAGGTGTTTAAACAGAGGAGAAATAAGTCAATCACGCCCCAAATAGGTAAGATAGGGTTGTGAGACACGCCCAAAAGTGGGCTGGATAACCTATGCATTCGCACCTGCATGGGGCGTGACTAATCACGCCTAAGTTGAGCGTGAATGACGTGGAATTCACGCCTTCTTTGGACGTGAATCTTCTTGCTCGATTTGGACGTGAATGGGTGCAACACATTCGTAAATACATTCAAAACAATAATCTATTCATAATTATTTATTAAAATAATAATATTTTAATTTTTTTGCCATTATTCTAATAATATTGTTTTGGAGTTTAATATTTTTGTCTTCTTTTACATTATAATAATGGTGATGCGCATGCAATGTGATGAAGATATATCCTACATGAGAGGGGAAAAAAATTAAAATATTACTATTTTAATAACTAATTACGAATAGATAAAAATTTGAAACTAATTTACAAATTTATATGTACTCAGTTACATCCAAATGAGCGTGGCCACTCGCGCCTAAATTGGGCGTATTAGGGTGCTGTGTTGCGCCCCATGTGGGCACTGCTCATCCGGTGTTGACACGTGGCTCAAAAAAGTCAACAATTTGACTATAAAATTTCAGAAGACCATTACTTTTGACTCGAGTGCCCGAATCAAGTGAATTTTTTTGTTTTCACATAATTTTTCGAAATATACGCAATGACATTTCATTGAAAGTGATTTGGTCACAAATTTTTTGAAAACCTTTTCAAATTCGCAACAATGGTGCCACCACAAGAACATTTGACAACATATGTTATTTAAGTTTTTGACCTATTTGCCCATTTCTAAACAAAATTTAACATGTCTATGTTTGATTGTTGATTGGATGATGTATCCATGTAATCTATTACATGAGCTCAAGTTTACCGTAAGACTTCGGAAGGCCATAACTTTTGGCTCGAGAGTTCAATTCAAATGATTTTTTTTATTTAATATAACTTTTTGAGATCTATGCACTGAAAAATTCCCAGAAGATTATTTAATAGTGTAGGAAAGTAAAATTTTTAATAATATCATTCACAAAAATAAGAAATACCAAACGAGACACAAATAAGTATTTTTTGGGAAATTTTTTTGACCAGGATTTGCAACGATATCTTGAAAAGTTACGGGGAATAAAAAAAACACATGATTCAGACACACAAGTCAAAAGTTATGTCCTTGAAGTTTTAATGTAAAATATCCTGAATTCAAAAAAAATTGTGACCAAATCCCCTTCAATGAAATGACATTGTGTAGATCTCAAAAAGTTACAAGTAATCAACAAAATAATTACAATTTTCATATACCCGATTCAAAAATTATGACATTTCAAAGTTTTATGGTTAAATTATTGATTTTTTTGTGCCACATAACAACATCGGGTCAGCCCCAAATAAAACACATTAGGATGTTAGGTCATGCCTAATTTAGGCAGGACTAGTCACGCCTGGAAAAGATGTGTTCATGCAGGGGCAGTGGCGGATCCAGAAAATTTTATTTATGTGTGCACACTTAGTGGTGGGGTTCGAGGGCAATGAGCCCGGAAAAAAAATTTAATTTTTTTTAAATGTATTATAAAAACAAAAGAATGTGAACAAGAAAAGAAAAGAAAAAATCTCAACTTAACATAAAATAATAATAATCAATGGTCATATAAAGGTGATTCTTCTTTTGTTATTTTTCCATTCTCCGTACTCAAAATTTTGAGACCTATAGTTAAGAATAATAATAATTTCACAATTTCAGTCAATAATAATTTGTTAATGCAAAATAATCTTGCTCCATATTTTTTATTATTTTAGTATAAAATATAATTATTTATATCTAATAAAAATTCCGCTCATTCAAGAAAAATTCACATAACACAATATCTAGATAATTATATGCAAAGATAATATATTTCACTTTTTAATTTTCTGTTTTTTCACTCTGTCTTTAGACCTACCAATCACAGTAATTTCCTTACACTTTCGCACCATGCTAGAGTTAATTTAAGAGCATTCAATAATTTATGTAAAATATATGTTGAGAAAAGTACAAGTAATTAAGAGCTGGATTGCCTATGGTGCATTGAAGAGAATTAACAAACAAGTGTAGTGTATCATAAGTGTGTTATTTACAAATCTTTTAGAGAAAAATATGTATATATCAAATGTAAGGATTTAATTTTGGTACAATAATTACCAGATTTATTATGCATTGTCATCAAATTGCTGTGTTATCAAATATAAAAGTTGGACAATTAATTGAATTATTGTAGAAGTTGTTTATTTTTGTTAACAGATAGTGTGATGACATATGATGGACAAAGGGTACACAACCTCTAAACAAGGATGCAATGTAGTTAATTTTTTTTTCTTCAGAAATTCATGTCTGCAAATGCAGACATTGGTCCCAACGTCGGTCCGCCGATGTAGGGAGTTATGGAAAGATATGGTAGTATAGGATTATCTTTACAGGGCTAGGCTATAAGTTAGGAAGATAGGTTGGTTTTATGTAATTTTCTAGGCTGCTTACGTAGAGAACTTGGAGAAGGGTCTTCAAGTTGGGGGCAATTCTTGCTCATTGTCTTTCCTTACATTGTATATTTTTTCTTTACATTAATTAAATTCCTCTTTCCTGTAAGACAAGAGAACAGAAATGAGAAACCTATCAGGTTGCCTTAGTGGCCAAATCACAGGAGGTCTCGGGGGTCCTTTGGGCCTTTAGGAATTGGGTCTTTATCTCACTTGTAGTACGTCCAGATCAAAAATGTTAGGAGATTTTATGAGCCTCTACTCTTCGCTCAATTAAAGCTTTAATGCTTCTTTTGTATATGCCACAACATAATTATTCATAGTTTACTTATAATAACTTATATTTTTCGGTCCAACTAACTTTTTCTGCCCTATTAAGCAAGTTTTTTTTTTAAGGTTCAAAATGGTGACAAAATATGCAACCACTCCATTCAAGCAACCATTAAAGCTCTCTCCAAATATACGACTCAAAGATTCGAACATTTCCCACTTCATTAATAGAGATAGCTCGTGGAGTCTATTGACCATTAAACCAACTTACTATGGGTTATATTAAGCAAGTTTTTGGTTAGGAACGGTTGATAGATACATTTTTTTGTACAGGCATAGCTCTAGGATTTGTAGTGACGTCATTTAATGCTTCAGCAAGAAAATTGTCAAAGTTTCACTTCATAATCGCAGTGGCGGATCCAGAAAAAAAAAGTTTATGTCTGCACATTTAGGGTGGAGGTTCGAAGGCAGCGCCCTCGAAGATTTTTTTTTTAAAGAAAATTTTAAATGTATTAAAAAATATATAAACAAGAAAATAAAAGAATTATAAAGGTTGGTTAGGTTAGGTTCATGTTAGTTAAAATTCTGATTTAAATATGTGATTTTATGATTTTACGATTTTTTTTAAACAAAACGATTTCAAAATTTCAAGTACTTTTACGATTTTATGATTTTTTTATGTTAGGATTTTATGTTTTATGATTTTTTATCCTCCTTTCGATTTTAGGTAAGATTCTGATTTTAACTACTATGATTGAGTCTATGTTTATTTATTTTTTTCAATCTTCCTAAATCTTTTTTTTTATTTGACCTAAATCACCCACCCTTTAAAAAAAAAAAAAAAAAAAAAAATCAAACTTGTGTCTACAAGTGTAGACACAAGCAAGTATGTGTGTCCGCCACTGTGCAGGGGTGACGTCTTATTTGGACATGAGTGGTCATGCTCATTTTTTACATAACTGAGTACATTCCATAAATTAGTTTTAAAATATTATCTATTTGTAATTAGTTATTAAAATAATAATAATTTAATTTTTTTTTTCCCCTTATATGAGATGACTAAAATAATTACTATTTTTTTATGGGAAAACGTGGTTTCTGTTCGCATTGCACGCATCAAGAACGGAACATTATTGTTCGTATGATTTTTCCCTTCTGAATTTAATACTATTCTTCACTATTTTCTTATTTTTTTATTGTTCTTGAATAGGAACAGCAGCATGAACATTGGGTTCAAAGAGATGCTTTTGTCATCATGTCCAAAGACCCAAAAAGCATAACTAAGCCTAGCCCGAAAAAGTATAAGTTTGAATCTAAAATTTCGAGGTCCAAATTTAAAAAATAAAAATAAAATCTATCCATACCAAGTGGGCTAGGGAATGCAATCGGTTAAAAACTTAAAACCAGGGGTGTCTTTTGGGAATAAAAGAAGCTAATTTTTTTGCAACTTATATGTCGTTGAACTTGTTAGATGTTGCCTATGATATACCTGTCTACTTCATAAAAAAAAAAATTATATTTTCTTTAATGTTTTATTAGAAAACAAATGTTTTATTTGTTTCTTTATACAAGCTAGCATCTATTTTAAAAATGTAGTTCATGTGTTAAAACTTAAAAAAAAAAAAAAAACAAAGTGCGATTAAGGACAATTGGGGCGGATGGGAAGCTTCCGTGTAAAGTGAAAAAGGGTATGATAAAAAAGTCGGGGACAGTGTCAAATGTCAGAGAAAAAAGAAAAAGACTACGGTGTTTGGTAAACTATTATGATTATGATTGCTTTATTAACTTAATTAATTATTGTTACTTGTTGTGCCGCTTCAAATGTGAGAAAAATATTTATGTATTCGGAAAGTAACAATAAATTAGATATGAGTTAAATTTTATCACATTATTGTAAATTTAATATTAATTAGTAGAGAGACCCGGGATAAGCACGGATACTGAAAATTTAAACATTAAAAATATGTTTTGATTATATTTACATGAGTTTTTAAGATATCATATGCGTATTCGAATTTGATGTTTCATATTTTTGAACTTGAATGTAAAAAAAAAAAAAAAAAGTAAATAAAGGAATATAATGATAAAAAAAAAGTAACTTTAGCAAAAGAAAAGAGTAGACATTCATGGTACAAAAAGAAAGTATCAATGCACCGATTTCCTCTGCAAGCTTTTCATAACTAATTGCAAAATTTAGCCATGCTTGAAAATCTGCAGACAGAAGGGGAGCTTTCACAAACTGAAATATCAACAAAATAATAGATCCACAAATTAAATGACATCAATCGAAGATAAAAAGCAAAAACCTATACGGACCCAAAGCAACAGGAACATCCCCAAGTGTGTTTACTTCAGCCATTACGCTCAGTTGTTAGTTTAAATGCTAACTGCAATACGGTGGACCATGGAATAGAACATTGATTAACCTTACCAGTACATTTATAAATTATTAATTATTGTGTTCATAATAGTAATTGTTTTAAGAGTAAGTGTTTATCATTTTAAATGACATAAAATTATGTCATTTTAAGATTGAGATAGACACAAAATAATATTTTTATTTAAAATTTAAATTAAAAAAAAAACACTCACTTTCTCCACCATATTTTCATTATTTGTGTCTATCTCTTTCCTAAAATGACATAACTTATATCATTTAAAATGACAAACATCACATCTTTATTTTAATCGCTAATATAATTATGTTTTTTTTTTTTATTAAAATGGAGATGACACATATAATCATATACTTTAAAAAAAAAGACATATATAATTATCCTGGAACTTAAGTTATGTTTGTAATAAATTTGAATTAAGAATGCGCCGGCGTTGGTCTGTGTCTTAAATCTCAGCTCAAGAGTCAAGAGTCAGAGAGAGACAAGAACATAGCATATAGCATCTACACGCGAAAATAATCTTAGTAAGCTACAGTTGGCATTCGTGGGGACCACACTTGCCTAAACCACGTTTTCAGTTTTTTTTTTTTTTTTACCTAAAAACTCATTCAAATACAGCGGTTTTTGTTCTCTTTGTTCTGCTTTACATAAACTCTTCATCTCCACAACACAAATACTCTCTCTCTCATCTCATCAACCACTCTGTGATTCTGAATGGCTGATCCTGAATTAAAATCCAAAAGCCTAGTTTCTCTCTCTAAGCTTTTTTTGTGCTTCTCTCTCCTCTCCACCGTCGCCGTCGCCGACGATGGTCCGTTCATGTCGAAGCTGGCGAAAGCCATCGGCCCAAGCGGGTGGTCGGCGACGACCGCTTTCTGCAACTGGAGCGGCGTGAAGTGTGACAGTTCGAACCGTGTAACAAGCATCAATCTGGCTTCAAAGAAACTCAGTGGAACACTCCCACCCGATCTGAACTCACTCTCTCAACTCACCTACCTCTCGCTTCAGGGCAACTCTCTCTCCGGTTCCTTACCCTCTTTGGCGAACCTCACCATGCTCGTAACCGTTTACCTCGACGGCAACAACTTCACCTCCGTCACTAACGGTTGCTTCCAGGGGCTAACGAACTTGCAGAACATTAGCATGACCAACAACATCAACCTCGCACCCTGGACGTTTCCCACCGAGTTGACTCAGTCATCCAACCTCCTCCAACTCGACCTCGGTAACACAAACCTCATGAGTTCCTTGCCTGATGTGTTCGGTTCCTTTGTCACTTTGCAGGGTCTTCGTCTCTCTTACAACAACCTCACCGGTGGTTTGCCAAAGTCCTTTGCAGGATCTGGGATTCAGAATTTGTGGCTCAACAATCAGATAGATGGGTCTGGGTTTTCTGGTTCAATTGATGTGCTTTCTTCCATGACACGCTTGTCTCAGGTGTGGCTTCACAAGAACCAGTTCACGGGCCCCATTCCTGATTTGTCAAATTGTACTAGTTTGTTTGATCTTCAGCTTAGGGACAATCAGTTAACCGGTGTTGTTCCATCTTCTTTGATGGGTCTCTCTAGCTTACAGAGCGTTTCTTTGGACAACAACTTGCTTCAGGGTCCTGTTCCTGTGTTTGGGAAAGGTGTGAAGTTCCCTCTTGATGGGATCAATAGCTTTTGTCAATCAAGTCCTGGTGTGCCTTGTGATCCCATTGCCACTACTTTGCTTGATGTTGCTGCGGGTTTTGGGTATCCCCTTCAGTTGGCCAGTGCCTGGAAAGGGAACAACACTTGTCAAGATTGGAGCTTCATTGTGTGTGCTGGGGGAAAGATTATTACGGTGAATTTAGCAAAGCAGAATTTGACTGGAACCATTTCATCTGCATTTGCCAATTTAACTGATTTGAGGAACTTGTTTCTCAATGATAATAATTTGGTTGGTTCAATACCTGGGAGCTTGACAACTTTGCCTCAACTTGAGGTTCTGAATGTGTCTAATAACAACCTATCTGGAGAGATTCCCAATTTCTCAGCTAAGGTGAAGTTCCTTCATGCAGGTAATGTTTTGCTTGGTCATCCTGGAGATGGAGGCAGTGGAACTAGTCCATCATCGGGTTCTGGTAATGCGCCGAGTGGAAGTCCATCTAAAACAGCAAATAGTTCTTCCCTGTCTCCTGCTTGGATCGCAGGTATAGCCATTATTGCTGTATTTTTCGTTGTGGTGGTGTTGTTTGTCTTTTGCAAGTGTTATGCCAAAAACCGGAAGGGGAAATTCGGAAGGGTTAATAATCCTGAAAATGGAAAAGTAGACATTAAAACTGATGTAATGAGTGTTGTCAATTCCAATGGATATGGTGGAGTTCCCAGCGATATACAAAGCCAGGGCAGTGAGCTTAGTGACCTTCATGCTTTTGAGGGTGGAAATGCTACAATTTCAATCCAAGTTCTTCGGCAAGTAACGAGTAATTTCAGCGAAGACAACATTTTGGGTAGGGGAGGATTTGGAGTTGTTTATAAAGGGGAATTGCATGATGGAACTAAAATTGCTGTGAAGAGGATGGAGTCTGGTCCAATTGGAAGTAAAGGAATGAATGAGTTCCAAGCAGAGATTGCAGTTCTCACTAAAGTTAGGCATAGGCATTTGGTTGCTCTTTTAGGATATTGCATGAATGGCAATGAAAGGCTTTTGGTGTACGAGTATATGCCTCAAGGGACATTAACAGAGCATCTGTTTGATTGGCGTGAAAATGGCTGTGCTCCTTTGACTTGGAAACAAAGGATCGCAATAGCTTTGGATGTAGCTCGGGGAGTTGAATACTTGCACAGCTTAGCTCAGCAAAGCTTCATTCACAGAGACTTGAAACCCTCAAACATACTATTGGCTGATGACATGAGAGCAAAGGTTGCAGATTTTGGGTTGGTAAAAAATGCACCGGATGGGAAGTACTCTGTCGAGACGCGGTTGGCTGGAACATTTGGATATCTTGCACCTGAATATGCAGGTATAGAAAGTCTTTGATTATAAGCTTCCTTGATTTTTAAAGTTCTTACTTATTTCCTTATTTGGTTATAACTATTTGGTTACAACTCTTCAAACCTGAATAGCAGTTTTACCTGAAGCTAGATTATTGTTGCATCGAAAATGTGATTGGTTGCGCTTACTTTATACTAGCCTATTCCTTTGCTTGGTTACAACTAAGGTAATCTTGTTTCTTGACAGCTACTGGAAGAGTGACAACAAAAGTAGATGTTTACGCATTTGGAGTAGTTTTGATGGAACTGATTACCGGTAGAAGGGCATTGGATGATACTGTACCTGATGAAAGGTCTCACTTAGTTTCATGGTTCCGTAGGGTACTAATTAACAAGGAGAACATCCCAAAGGCAATTGATCAAATTCTCAACCCTGATGAGGAAACCATGGAGAGCATATATAAAGTGGCTGAGCTGGCAGGCCATTGCACTGCTCGTGAACCATACCAAAGACCAGATATGGGGCATGCAGTGAATGTCTTGGTTCCTCTGGTAGAACAATGGAAGCCTACAAGCCATGAAGAAGAAGAAGGTTCTGGCATTGACCTTCACATGAGCCTTCCTCAAGCTCTTCAAAGATGGCAAGCCAATGAAGGAACTTCCACAATGTTTAATGACATGTCCATCTCTCAAACCCAGTCAAGCATTCCTGCAAAGCCTTCAGGATTTGCAGACTCCTTTGATTCAATGGATTGCCGGTAGCAAAAAAGACAAAAGAGACAACCTTCAATTGCTTCTCAGTTAAGGATGATAAGAATGTTATTAAGCTGTTTTGGTCTAGCGGCATCACCAAATTGTATCACAAATTTAATTTATTTATTTTTAAATGTCAAGATTTTTGTTGTTCTTGCAATCTCCTGTTGTACAAGTCTAATGTTCTTTATTGATATATATATATAAATATAAAAGCTAGCGGATTGATTTTAGTGGATGGTTGGGTTCTTAGATGGGAAGTTGATATTATAGAAATATGTTAATTGTATGATATTTTTTTAACATTTTTCAATCAGAAGAATATTTTTTTTTTGAAATATTTCAATCGGTTTATTGCTTCGCAATGAATCTGATTCGGGACGGGTTCAGGATTAAGACTTTAAATTTCTTTCAAAGGTGGTACTGGAAAGATTCGAACATATGCTCTGTCATCTTCATCTGTTTAGCTTTCATACGCCAACTGAGTTATCACTATTTGATATCAGGAGAATATTTATTGCGTTCATTTGGTTTTTTAATGGGCAGACAGACAATGGTGTTTGTCCCTCCTCTTTTGACGAAGCATTTGTAAGTACAACTGGTTCTAACTCATTACCAATGCCGCGTAAATCAAGGCCAATTAACCAAATGGAGAATTCTAATCTCGTGATGCTGTATCCGTTGTAGCCGTCTATGATGCACGGACACGGGACACGACACGCCGATACGTTAATTCTAAAAAATGTCATATTTCGACACGTTGGGACACGTTTTGATATTAAATAATTTTTTTAATATATATAATATAATTTATATTTAATACATATAAAAGTGTATAATAATTCATATAACTAATCAAATATTTAAATTTCATAACATAAATATAATATAAATAATTTTTCGTACTTTGTTAAATTTTCATGTCAAATTTCGTAACAGAAAAAAAGTAATTTATAAATTATTTATTTTATATTTAGTTAAAGTAATAAAATTAAGATTTAAAAATAAAAAAAATAAAAAAAACAAAAAAAAAATAAAAAAAAACGTGTCCGAGCGTGTCCGAGCGTTAATCGCGTGTCCGAAAAAGTTGACTGCGTGTCGGAAAAACGTGTCGAAACGTGTTGAAGAGTTGACCGCGTGTCCCCAAATGTTGACCGCGTGTCCGAGCGTGTCCATGTCAGACACGTGTCGGACACGTAAATTTTCAAAAAAATCACATGTCCGTGCTATGGAGGTAGCCGTTGTAGTTCTCTTTAGCATCTTTTATATTCTTTGTTTACTTTTTTGTTGTCATCTTTTGTTTTACTATTAATTGTTCCTGTTTTTCTCCTTTCCTTTGAGTCCGGTTTGTGTGGCATAATTGAATATTTAATTTGAATGGAAATTAAAAGAATTTTGAAAATGTAGGTGAGACTTTTTTTCTGCCACTACACGTTTGCGCATGTTACGGTATTTTAAAGCTGGACCTTTATGTTTATCCAAAAAAGAAAGAAAGAAGCTGGACGTTTATAAAATGAGTTTAATAGTTTTTATATTATAAGGGATAAATTTATTTTTTATACATATATAAAAATATTATATGGAGCTTATATTTTTTTTTCTCTCTTCTTCTCTGTAACTTTACATACATCTTACATATTTTTATGCACGAGGAATGTTATATTTATAAAATTTTTATTTATAAACTCTTACAAACTACACTATATTTGACCAGTAATACACCGAGTAGAGTATTACCGTTCAGACATAATATAATTTGTAAGTTTATAAAAAAAATTATAAACATATTTTTTTTCATAATATATATATATATATATATGACAAAATGATTTCTGCAGCTGCTGCTGTACCTACAGCAAGTAAGGATCCGCGTCCGGATCCTAGGATATGGCAACGAATCCTGAATTATTTTTTATTTTTTTAAAAAAGCCATGGAGCTCACTTTTCTGTGTCAGTTGTAGATAACATTATCTACGGCTCCTATAGAAATGTTAAGCCCTATATATATATATATATATATATATATATATATAAGAAATAAATTTATTTCACGAAAAACATTAAACCTTATAAAATATGCTAACTAAATAGGTGACTTTGGTAACAAAGCACATGCTGAGGGCTCCATCTGCAAACTGCACATGACATGATTTGACAACTTAGATTCTAGATGTTCAAACCCTGAACCGCCACATAGGCGCGTACTCGTTCATATCACCACCACCGATTCACCGAACCGATGATAGTTGTTTTTGGTATATTGTTCACCAATGATAGTTTGCTCAAAAATCTTTGCATAAGATAGAAGTATGTCGAAAAATAAATGAATAGTTGTAAAATTTTCTTCTATTATTTTATGTACAATTCACTGGAAGCAAATTATAATTTTTAATTTGTTATTGCAATAACTTTTTATCCATTATATCTGCTCTTCCAGATAAAAAGGAACGAAGAAAATATTATTTTTTAAAAAAATCTTAAAAGAATTTTACCTATATATAATTCATTAATAGTTATTGATTTTACTTCTATTTTAAGTCATCAAAGTCATTAATATTGTGTTGGACCCATTCATAGCTGCTATAACTAGGTTTTTGAGTCTATTTATATTTTTTATATCAAAATAATTATAATAAATATTACGAGGATATGGATATAGTCCTATACCAATGAACCAGGACAAAGTATTGAAATTTAATTTTTTTCCAAATCATATCGCAAACCAAATATCCAAATCAATTTTAACTACTTTGTATTACATGAATGCGAAAAGAAATAATTGTCACCATTTAATTTTATATAATTAAAATTATTTTTGACTATGTTATTTCACGCTACCATATAATAGAATTGAGTATGTATAAGAATCGGGATTTTGAGCTGTCGTCAAAGACAGGGCAACTTGAGTAGTTGGAAATAATTGGCAGTTGGTGATTGAGGTATTATTATTATGGATTCATTTAATCTTATGTTGAAGGAGAGATTTTCTCTCATATTGTGACACATATGTGGTAGGACTTGCCATTTAAAAAAAAAATGAATTTCACGATCTTCGATGAATGTGTAAGAGATAAAATTGGTCTTATGCAACATAAGAGTAGTTTTTTTCCTATTATTATATGAAAGAGTAAATTCATCAATTATTAACTTTAGTTGGTCGCTTGTCTTTGAAGATAAAGATTTGCCGGTTTTACATGAACGTGAACATTAGATTTGCATTTGGAAGGCGATAACCGGCAAGTTAAATATAAAATTGGTCTAATTATAGTTTTAGCTGTTTATTGCGAAGGTTATATTTTACAATTATTTTTAGTATCTTAATAATTAATATACTATTTTAGTATCTTAATAATTTTTTACTTAAATTCAATTCCTGACCTTAATTTTCTCATTATTGTAATAAATAATTTTTATGTTTGTTTTTTAAAATCTTCAAATTCTTATTTTCTACTCAAAATCTTCACAAATTGAACTAATTAAATTGTTATTTTTTTCCCCTTAAACCTCACCGATTGAACCATTTTTTTTTCTTTTCGAAACCTAACTTCACTTTTTGCAAAATCTTTTGAGTTTTTATCAAATTTTACAAATTTTTTAAGTTGTGAACCATTCAAATTATTTTTTATCAAAAATTCGTAATAAACTCCTAATTATTTAAGTATAAAAAATGATAATTCAAGAATTCAAGTATAGGAAAACTAATAAAAAACGTGATTGCAATAATTAAAAAATGAAGTCCACGTATAAGTTATAAACTTAAGAAAAATATTTTTACAGTTAATGCAGATAAGTTATCCGTATTTATTTTTAAAAATACGTCGTTTTAGTATTGAAATTTTAAAATATTATAAATATAAAGACTATTATAACCTAAAATAAATTAAAATTATAAAAGTACCATGATTTTCATCCCAAAATGATGTTATATGAACTTACTGCAAGCAAGTAGCTGCAGAAAAAATGAAGTCATAAACTCATAACAGAAGGACCGAAATTAAAAGAATAAGATGATTTATGCACTAGTTTAACAACCTGTCAACCTCCACATAAATTGAAACGTACTTTATCCAAATCATTAAAAATTAGAATATATTAGAGAAATTAATATTTGTTATATTATAGAAAATAAATTTTATTTTTTCTACATACATAAGATTATATGAGTTTCATAAAAAAAAATATAAACTCTACATAATTATATATATATATATATAAAATAAATTTATTTCATATAACATTAGAAATAATAATCTCATATTTAATACCTCATTCAATATATAATTTTTAAAAATAATATGGGCCACCGACCGTTGGGTTTAAGAATCCTTGTCACTAAATTTGATCTAAAATCTATTGTGGAACATCCAATCAAATTTCCTGTCTCTGAGTTGGCAGAATCTAAAAGGCTTCTTCCTTCTCAGTTGGCAGGTTCTTGCAGGAAAAGTAATAGATAAAGTTTCCTTTTAAAGTAGATTCCATTATTTAAATTAAACCGTAATGTTAAGAGTAAAGTACCGTCTTTTTTACTGCAACCAATTATATTGGATAGGATTGCTGTTAAGCTATTCCTTAAGAAGGAAAATTGTCTCTTACGGGGCGTTTGGTTGAGGAGAAATTTGTTGAATACTAGGGAAATAGAATTGATAGGGAAATGGTAAGAAAGTGAGATAAAGTGAGATAGATAGGAAAATGTAAAAAAAAGTTGTTTGGTGGGGAAAAATTTTACTGGAGAAATTAGGTAACTTTTATAAAATGTATGTTTGGTTGGAGGTAAGATATAGATGGAAAAATAATATGAAATGACAAAAATAACCATAGAAAACCATTCTTTTTGTGCGCTTAGTTAAAGGGTATGCTGGTCTTTTGATTAGTATCAAGTTAAAGCAAATAGGTTGCTTTCTAGGAATACCACACTGGCTGTGGGATAGTTTAGCCGGCTATATGCACAGAGATAGATAGAGAACTTGGTTTGATAGGTTTTTGATTTAGATAGGTAAGTAAGAAACCAAACACAACCAAACATGAATATCTTATATTCCCACTACCCATTTCCCCATCTATCTCAACAGATGCCAGCAACCAAACACCTCCTTAAGGGGAAAGGTTTAATTTAAGGGGTTTGATTTTCTCATGTTAAATGAGAATTCAATTTTCATGTTGTAGAGATAAAATGCATGTGGGACCCATGTGTTAGAAAAAATTATATGTAGGACCCATGTCAGCACGAAAATCGAAGGGTG